AAGAGAGTTTCCATTATTGGGCGTATTATTGGCGTAAACCCAAACTAGGCAGAAGCTCGCTTAATTGATGAAAAAGTGAATGGGTTTTGAGATTGTTCGTGGCAAGATTTTTGGAAAGTTTCCAAATGTTCACATGGTCTTCCTGATCACGCTCAAGGTTCCCGTTTTGTTCGAACCTCATGCTAATTAATAAAGCCGAATTTCGCCTATCGGTCTTCAAACGGACATGAGAACATAAAACAAGGCCAAGTGAAGCGTATGCATCTTTACCTTGAAAGTAGTACCAAAGAAGATTGATGGTTTCGAGTATCAGCACTGACACGTACTTACCACAAAGAGTTGTCTGTGTGTTTGAGAAATTTCCTAAACAATAATAACGGACATTTGATTGCATGCATTTGTTTGATAAAGGTCGCATTTGCGGATTGAAAAGGAAAAATCAGGATAACCGTGTATTGAGCACCGTCATCGAAATATTATGACCGATAAAATCAGCCTGGTCGATTACGAGATATTTAGCTAAAACAAAAGCATATCCATATCGGCAGATCGGATCGGCTTTGACTGTTGAACATTTGTTGCAGAACTGGATGACTTGCGTGAATTCCGGCGGCCTTTTTGAGCTCGAAGACCTCCATCGAGCCTTTTTCTGTTTGTTCACAAGAACAATCGCGCGATGTACGCATGAGAGACGTTTTTATACAACCGGCCAACGTAATCAATCATTCACTATGCGTTCGTTGTATGATCCCTGTGTACGATTAAATTGTGCTTCAAGTGATTGTTTAATTCCGAATTAACAGACTGGAAACGGTTCTAATTCCCGCTTGCCCAAGCACTGGCTAGATGAAAGTTCCGTTCAATTGGCTCAATCATTGGCCAATGCGGAAATGCTTCAATGTCTCAAAACAAACGCCTGGCGATGAAGGTAATCGGAGACTTTCATAGGCCACCTTTTCCTTGCCAATATCCATTACAGCCCCATTCAACTTCGTGAGAATTCCACTCACTTTCCACTAGCACTCACTAATCCAGGGGTACCAATTAAATGCCTAGATTATGGTCGGTTTTGTGAA